ACCCAGAGGCTCAGGAAGTTTTAGGTGGGGCTTTTTCTTCAGTCTATTGATTTAGAATGTGTGACCCTGCTGCAATTAAGGGTATGTGATCACTAAGTTAGTCCACTGACTGGTTTGGCACTTGTCCTAAGCTGAGTAGCCTGGATAGAAGATAAAAGAGACAGAAATAAGCTACTATTGCTGCTTACTTGCTGCCTTCTCCCCACCCTGCTTTGCCATGAACTGTTTCTCCTCTGCCATCCTCCTTTTCCTTGGAGCCAGCCAACTATGAACTGAAGCTTCTACAAACTGTGAACTACAATAAACCTGTCCTCTCTTATCTCCTCTCCCTCCCTATAGATAGATAGGTAGATAGATAGATAGATAGATAGATAGATAGATAGATAGATAGATAGATTCTTAATATATTTATTTATATATTATATCTTACTAGCAAACTCTGATACAAAAGTGATAGTTAAATTGACTCCCTTCATACAATGAATCTATACATCTATACTACACTTGAAAATGTTTTCAAACTTATGTTAACCACCTCACAACTATCCTCATCCAGGGTATTCGTTTTAGTCTAATGTTTTTGTTTGTTTGTTTGTTTGTTTGTTTTTGGTACCAGGGATTGATCTTGGGTCCTTGAGCTTGCAAAGCAGGCCACCGAACCGCTGAGCTAAATCCCCGGACCCCAGTCTAATGTTTTTATATCAGTTTCAGTTGTATGGTGTGTAATAAAAACAAGCTGATAAATTCATTGATTAAAAGCGATTCATTTTTAAAGATTTTGAAATAAATCAATTAAAATATTCTCTCCCCTAATGGAGTTTACATTTAACAAAAGTCAGCATATTTTTTCGATAAAGAGTCATAAGTAACTATTTCAATTTTGCATTTCTGTTGCAGTTGTTTAGCTCAGTCATTATGTCACAGAGGAGGTAATAAATAATACATATTTGAGCATGGCTCTGTTCCAACAAAGTTTTGTTTGCAAACATGAGTTTGCCCAGCCAAATTCAGTCTGTGAGATGTAATTTGGCAATCTCAGTTATATAGAGCATTTTGTGACACATTAGAGATGATGAAATAATTTGCAGTGTGTAAGACCATGTTGGTATTCATATGTTAATGCAAAGGTGATTGTTTTTCTCTGAGGGAAATGGTGAACTCTCATTCATAATTGCCTATAGAAATTATTATGCATAATGTTTAATCATAAATTTATCATAATAATCATAACTATTTAAATTTCTGAGGATGTAAATTAGATATAATAAATAAGTAAATTAGTCCAGTAACTAGTAAATGTAAGGTTTTAATTAAAAGGAAAATCTATTAATATGGATGCTATTGTTTTATAATTATCACAAATATCATACTGAAGATAAACAGCAAATATGGAACAATAACAAGAGTATAAACGTAGAAAGCATATAGTGATGATCAGAAAAAAATACTATTTTTCCTTCCTTTAACCATTAGCTCCAATGGGAAGATATTTGTGAAAGTGGCACTGTTTCCCATTTCTTATTTGTGTTCCTTTGGAACATAGCTTTGGGTTTCCTTATCTGACAGACCAGTCCCCACCACTGACTATGAACTGACTTTATGAACTTCCAGTTCCAAGAGACTACAACAAAGGATAAATGCCAGTTGTGACCTGGGCCTCAGAACTGTGTGTTCTCATGTGTGCCAGTCTATGCTGTTCTGGACAGAAAGTGTGGATACAACATCCCTCCTGGGTTCCAGATGAGAACAAACCGATCACTGGACTGTGCATCAGGCTGTTATAGATGACTCACCACTCACATGCATGGAAACATACGAACAAGTCCAGGTGACAACTGACGATTATTTCTATGAGCAAAACTACTCATGGATTGAGGTGCAAAAATCATGGCTACTATTTTAAACTGTTGAGTTTTGAAATGGTTTCTCTTTATCAAGGAGAAATAGGTAAAGCCCATGTGCATTCTATAGATTTCTTGAAAATGAGAAGTAAAAATTGGACTTGAAGGAATTAAGGAATTGGGAATAGCTGAGATTTCCCAAAAAGATGCCAGGGTATTTCAGTTATATCTCACAAGTTACGTGGCCATTGAAAGGTGAGCAGACAATAGAGGGATAATGAAACGAAAGAAAACAAAAAGAAACACTTGGAATTCAGGGATTTTTTTCAATGTTCTTCATGCCATTTGGAAAAAAAGATGATGCGTTTTTATTTTCATATAAAATAAATGTTTTTTTCCATATAGCAGTTGATTAATATATCTTGAATATCTTTCCTCAAAAATTTCTATGTGTTTTTATAATAAATTTGGTACATTTTACATATAAAATTCATGTATTCTCTTGAGGTTTACATAAAGATTAAGCTATCCAGCAGCAGCTTGAGAAATTAATTGTCTTAGAGTCATTCATGAAAAAGAATCATAATTAGTTTTCATGTACTGATTTTATTCTTCAGGGTTCTGTATTTGCTAGAAAGGTTCACTAGACCTAATGATTTATTTTTATTTTTATTTATTTATCTTTTATTTATTTATTTATTTTTTGGTACCGGGGATTGAACTCAGGTCCTTGCGCTTGCAAGGCAGGCCACCGAACCGCTGAGCTAAATCCCCGGCCCCTCGATCTAATGATTTAAAAATGTAAAACTTTGGTTATTCTCCTCAAGAAGTGTTCATGTTCCTACAAAAACAGTAATCAGAGCAATTGCATTGTCTCTCACAATTTCCCTGGTCAGGAATTCAGGAAGGAGTGGCATGGTCTTGGCTCAGAGTCTCTCAGGAGATCACCATCTGGCAGTGCTGGAAGATGACACATTAAGGTCTGGAGCAGCTGTGATTTCCCCAGGCTGCACGGGGCCCCTGTGTCTCTGTATCTGTCTTCATCTCTTCGTGTAGTCTACATCTGCTCCATGCGGTCTTTCTCCATTACCTAGTACAGACTTTCTCCTATGGTATTTTGGGGGCAGGTAGAGTTTCTAGTATCCCAAGAAACATAGATCAGATTCCCCAAATCTGTGTCTGAGTGAATGAGGCAGATGCTCCAATTCTATTTATGACCTAGCCTCATAAGTCACACAATAGCATTTCCACCACATCTTACAAAGTAAAGCATATGATAGGTCTGCAGATCCAAGTTTGGAGAGCACACTCCCCTCACGGTGGAAGTGGCAATGTCCTCATGTGCAGAAATGTATATGCAACGGAAGCTACCATTCAGCCTTTTCTGGAAAGTGTGTTTACCACGGGAAGCAACACAATAGTGCAAATATCATAAATAAAATACATAGACGTAGGAATTACTTCTTCCACCAGTATTCAGTGGATACACTGAATCCAACCCATATTTCAAACTCTCATATATTAGAGTGGACTTGATTTATGAACTCAATTCATTCCTACAGGCTGGTTGTAACTCAAGTTGGTCTGTTGCCCTCAAAGTCTCTCTCCTGTATGATTTTAAGCCACATTTTCTCTTAGGCAGGTCTCAGTGTCCTTAGAGAGACACTGGCCCAGTATTTCTCAATTAACCCCACACAGGAAAGAATGCTGTAATGTTCCTTCTGGAACTCTTTAAGAGTTAGATCAGCATCTGAAACCATCTGGAAGCACAAGCGGCCAGCATTTGGGTTGAAACTCAAGACTTTGTTCATAAGTTAAAACTGAAATTCTAGTCATAACCCAACTCAGTCATATGTCAGATCATTCATATCTTGAGGGTCCACTGGATTTTGATTAAATAATTTTTTCAATCCTTATATAATAATACCAGGTGAAAAATAGCTAATACAAATCTTATCTCACTTTTAATTTGGCAAAAGAAAATAACAAAGCTAGTCAAGCTGTTTATGAGTATCCCCTATTACAATTAATTATGAAAACACCTTTTCTCTTTGCATGGTAGAAATTATAATTGCTTTGAATATTTAAACCAGTATCATTTCCCAACATGAAAAATACTTCAATATAATAGTCCTTTTATGGATTCTAAAATCTATTAAAAATGTGAATAAATTAAAATGGTAAATTATTATGCTTTTGTTTATGTTGCCAATTACAGAATTCCCCATGAAGCAGTAAAAATGAAATGTATCTTTGCAGTAAACAATTTAAAAAATAAACTATACTCCTTTTTGCTTTATGGTAATAACACTGTTGTTATATATAGAAAATTTTGATTGCAAAAATATACTTATCTCCACACACATGCAACATTTTGATCATGCAGATATTTATAATTAATTAATAGAAATATCTTGGCACTGTTATTTCATATCACTAAATATCAGCGTAATTTCCTGTTTTCCAGAAAATAAGCACCACCGTAACAAGTGTACATGCCATTTAGTAAAAGTTTATTGTGAAATGCTACAGATTATTCACAAATTGAAAGTTTAAAGAAATAATATAAGCATATATTTAACCAAGTCTTCACTTAACTCAACTTGAACAGTTTAATGTTACCAGAAAAGAGGTTCCGTAATGGCCTCTTGGGCAAGGTTTCTGTCTGCACCATTGAGTTATATCCCACGCGCTAAGAGCAGGGGGGTAACTCATGGCACACGTGCTTACGTGAGCTGCTCATGTCAGGTGTGGGTAACTGAGAGCTCTAACAGGTTCGCCATCCCTGACCTAGGTTAGGTCTTTGTCAGAAGACTATTGAAGCTAGTGATTTTGGATGCAGCACCATATCTTTCGGTCTGATCTTGGATCATCCCTCAGCATAAAGTACTGATTTAGTGTAGCAGCAAACAGAAGCCTGAAATACATCTGTGCATTTTCTACATGAGTCTCATCTTCCCCAGGGCTTCCAAACTTATGCACCCTAACGCTCCTGGTGAAATTTCATCTCTGCTATACACAGGACAGCTCTCCACTAACTTGGCAGAAAATGTTTCAGCCTTCAATTCCTCAACTGAACGCTTGGCAGGGGATTTCCGTTTTTAAAAAAGACATTATCAGTTAAGCATATGGTGTTCATATTTGAAATAAACTGCCTACCTCCATATCCTGTTGTCATGCATCCTTCCGGGAGAAGCTAGAATTAAAATGATATCCTTCTAAGTTACGTATATTTGCTTTGAAAATAAATATTTGAAATTTAAATTATTCAAATTACATGTGAAACTTTTGCTTCTATTGATGCACAACCCGGGTCAAGGTGAAAATTTGAACCTTTTCATACAATGCAAAGAGAGATAATAAACACACTATACCAAACTACAATATATCATTTTGTTGAAAGCATGTCTCTTTGTTCTCTTAATAGATGGATGAAAGAAGAATGACAGAGTGAATTTGAAATTTTCTTCGATCCAATTATTTAATATATTGATCTTGTATAAACTGTCCAGCATACAAATATAAATTGGCAGTGTCTATTGGTCAAATTAAAAAATTATTGTTACCTCTAACTTGAAATTTTAATACATGTGTCTATCCATTTTTCCCACTGACTATTGATTTGTCCTTCTCTAGATACTGGATACTCCTAAACTTGAAATCCTAATTTGAGCCCAGCCTGCATAATTTAGCAAGATCTCTTTACAAAATAAACTTTAAAAAAAATGGCTAGGGGAATATTTCAACACAAAGGCCCCAGAAATGTCAACACAAGTACATACAGATATTTTATTAATATATTTGTATAAAAATAAATTCTTAAATAGAACAATGGATATGGCCATAGATAATTAGTATAATACATACATAATTAAAATTTTGGTCAATACAGAGAAAGAGCACTGGAAAGAAGTTGGAAGTGTTGACATGTAGATCATGGATTAAAAATCAACAAATTTTTCTTGACAGAAGATGAGTAGGCAGTGAGACCAATTAAAGAAGGTTTTAATGAGACTGAGTTCATACCTTAGCAGAAGAACTATATTTCAAGAGAAGATTTTTTTCCTAGACACTGTAGGTATATTTTTCTGGAATAAGTATCACTGAAATGTTTCCAAATCAATTTTTTATTGTTAAGAATTAACTTTTCCACATGTTCAGCCATTTTCTTACCGTTAAAATTGTGAAATAATCCCTAGGTTAAAAAGTGAACCAGCTGATTTGTTAAAGATCATAATCCTTCCTAAAGAAATAAGAGTGGATACAGTTTGGTAGATTCAAAAATATTTGAATATCTCACAGTGATAAGCATGTATTTGGATTGCTAATTATAACTGTTCTTTATTATTAAACCCTGAGTTTATCTGGCATTATAGAGTCATAGCATACCATTAAAATATATAAATTTCTTTAGCACCTCAGATAATAAATGGTCTTATTAAAATCTGAGATGCATGTGAATGTATTTATATGTATTAAGACATACTACCAATGGAATGTTGAGTGCCCACTCTACCTGTTACTGGGAATAAAAAAAATACAATAGGCACATTGTTACACTCTGGGAGGACAATGCAGACATAATAATGGGAAAGGTCAGTGTTCGAAATGTCATCACAGGTCCAATTACTAGACAATATAGATCCACATAAGAGAGACCTTGATCATTATCTCACTTCATCAAATTGTTAAATATTCTAAGAACTAATTGGAAAAATAATCATGATCTCATACAAAGAAATAATTCAGGTAAATCTCCATTTTCAAATGTAAAGATAATTGTATCAATGACTCAAATTATTCAGTGCAATAGATATATTCTTTTAAATTCTTGTTATAGTTTATTTATGAAAATATCTATGAACACTGAACAATTTCATTTTGACAATATAATTTTTGACTAAAAATTATTCTGTAGATACTTTTTGAATTAAAATTATCTGCTTTTTCCAAGTCTATGAAAAATATTTTAAATAGATAAACCACTAATATGACATAAATATCATACCCCACCATTATGATATATACTGTTTACAGATAACTTTTTAAAAGGCAAATGTCTGTATTATTAATCCTTAGGAATTTAGCAAAGAAAACTGTGAATCAAAGATTGAGTCATTCTAAATTTAGAGTTATACTGTAGAGATTGTCATTCACAAAGCAAGAAAAAAATTAATGTTCAAATTCAAAGCATTATATTGCTGCTTTACCCACCTAAATGTAAAACAAACATAGAAAAACCCCCACAAAAAAGAAAAACATTCAGAAAAAAATACTGTTTAGTTTGTAACCAACATTTTTAAATGACATTATAAAGGACCCAAAGCCAAGATATTAGACTTAATATGTTGCATAATGAAAACTACTGCTATGCTTTATACACCTGCTGTTTTATTTTAAAGGCATAAATACTTTTATAAATGAAAAAGAAGAAAAAGGGAGTGAATTTATAATTGAGAAAATAAAGGAAGAGTCAGAGAAGTAAAAGATGTCCCTACATTTACTTTTGAAACCATGGTATACTTTAGCTATTTGGTAAATCTAAGTTACAGATCACACTTTATTGGCTAACATTAGTACATACTGAGAAATCACTTATGTTTTTCTTTTTCTCAAAAAATTAATTGATGTATAAGAAGGTAAAAATAATAGTGAGAAACTACTTTGTTACATTAAAAACAAGTGTAGGAGGATGGCGGGTTTTTCTTCTCTTTTGTTTTTTCCCCCTTTGGATATTGAGCTAATAACTTGAAAATACAAAATATTATTTTCATGAAACTCTTCTCCTGTGCTTTTGTCACAGCTGAGCATAAATCCTTTGAAAGCCACAGGACAGTCAAGTAAAGCAGAGATACTTGAGGATGTAGTAAGAGGAAAACTTCCTGCATTAATTTCAATGTGATTAAATATTAAAATCTGAAATGAGATTTTCATGATAGAGGGTGTAGTACAAGCAAAATGTTTTGATTTGAAGTTTATTGATGTGTAAATTAGATAAGTTGAGAAATTTCATTAACTACATCCTCGGAGGTTTATGTGTTTGATTTTCATTCAGCCCACCTATGTTTACTAAACATTTACTATGTATCTTGCACTGTTCCAGGCACTTGGGATAAAAACAGTTAAGACCTACTTGTCTTGTCTTCAAAGAGCAGCCTGTAGATTGCTGAAAAATTAAAAGTGTGTTTTTTTGTTTTTGTTTTTTTTTTTTTTGGTTTTTTGAGACATGGTCTCACTATGTATGCAGTTCAAACTGCTCTATAACTCACTCCATAGCCCGGGCTGGCCTTGAACTCACAGGGATCCTCATGCCTCAGCGTCCCAAGTGCTTGGGTGACAGGCATGAGCCACCACACCCGGCCCAAAATTCTTTTATTTTACCCAGGTGCAGCAATTTCTATCCTAACTCTTTGGTTAAAATGGAGAAGAAACTTTTGGATCCCTTTACTGCTTCTGAATGTCCATCTTTAGGATTCACTGGAGCTGTTCTTTGCTTCTGTGGCTGAACTGAGGCTAGGAGAGCCACCTTCCCCAACACAAAGAGAATGAAGTGGCAGCAGGATATATCTGGTGGTCAGAGTTTATGTTTCTACCTCTCTATCCCCCTTTTCTACTTTCTACAACAGGGCAAAGAAGTATAATTCTGCTCAAAATCTCCCTGGGTGCACAGAATGAGGTGGATTCTGAGACTGTCTGAAATTGTAGATGGACACACACTCAGGATGGTGTGAGTATCACTTTTATTCTTGCAATCTGATGGTGCAGAAATGATCTGCAGTCAATAGAGAAGAGCCGTAGGATTTTGGGTTTGTATCTTCTCTGGGCTATTGATACATAGCATGATCATCTGTCATAATGGTGGGTTGCAGCACACAGCTTCAGCTTGCAGGCAGCATGAGCTCACAAGGGGAAAGAAGTGAGAAACGCTAAAGCCTGCTGTGTGGTTAAGCAATGATGTTTGGCAGGTTCTTTGTGTTAAATGCATTTTTGACATAATATATTTTTATAAAGGGCTTATCAGAACAAAAAATTCATTGTAAGTCAAAAAGCCTCTAAACTTAATTGTCCATTGAGAGCATTTCTTCAATAAGTTACATGCATGTAACTATGAGTATCACGGTCTGTTTCAGAAGAGCCAGAGTAAATTCAAGTAGTATTTTCAAAAATTTTGGGAAACCTGTCCTTAGCAAAGCTTTGCAACATAATTTTCATTAAGCATTTTAATTTTAGCTTCAAAAAATAGTTCAACATACAATTTTCTATAAAAAGAGCGTATCTAGACATGTTTAAATTTTGATACCTACAAATGTGTATCTACAATGTGGAAAGACTAAAAATTTTTTTGAGTAGATCACTGCAGGATTTTGTGATTAGTAACTCAAAATACCATGGTATGACCCTCTCCTGATCAAAGCAATAGAAAATGATTTTTATGAAAAATCTTATAGAACTCTCTAATCAAATTTAAAAAATATGGCACTCCATTATGTCCATTCTAACTATTGTCTTCCATTTAGAAAATGGCTTATTCATGTAGAACTAGTTAAAATTTCTTAGCTATTTTGTCTCAGAAGATAACTTCCATAATATAAAATTTAAGCATAGTTTAATTTTATTTCTAATATGCTTTGCTCCTGTGTGTATAAATCACAGTTGCTGAAAGGCAAACAGAAATGGAGGCCTTTATTAAAAATAAGTCAGGTCAATGTATATGAGTTTTTGAAAATTAATGATATACAAGTATAATGCTTTTGTGTTTCCCATAATAATCTAAAAAAAATCCCTGCCTTGTTTGCAGGTTTATTTTTTACATTTTTAAATTACTACTTTTTTATTTTTTTATTTTTTTATTTTTTTTTTATTGAGTTTATTGGTACATTTAGGGATACAGTACAGTTACATTCATTGTTGGGATCATGTACCTTTACATGGCAAGTCTTGATTCTCATTTTTTTCCCCTTACCTCTGCCCTCCCTTCACCCCCTCCTCCCCTCCCCATCTACAAACACTACTTCTTTTTTAGAACTATATCACAGTAGGTCCGTATATTTCATGAAGAATACAGAATGGCTTTGGAAATTATATTGGATGAGGACATCACATATAAGTCACAGCTGGGCTGCCAAATATTACTCCTTAAGAAGTTCAGAAACACCCAACTATGACACTAAAATATCCTAAGTACTACCAGTTTCTTCAAAATTGCATTTGTTGAGGGCCAGGGATTTAGCACCGTGGTGCCACTGCCTTCTTTACAAGTGCGAGGTTGGGAGTTCCAAACTCAATCCTCACTAGAAAAATAAATAAATAAATAAATAAATAAATAGCATTTGTTACTATTAAACAGCGTTTTATGATCTTTAATCCTCACAGAGCTGAGCTACTCTCTTTTATGCCAGAAACAAAGCAGAATTTGAGAGAAAGGCTTGTATGGTAAGTACGGTGTGGTTGATTTGAGCGTATGATGCCAGTTACAGAGAAACTGGCAGTTACAGAGAAAAGCAGAAGGGAGAACCAACACCAAGTTGCATGACATAATTGCTCACTTGTTTGGACTCCTGGGTAACAAATTCCTTGTGATGTTCTGAGGATAAGAGGCTGTCAAGAGAAGAAAAAGGGGAGCACTTATCCATCAGTTCTTAAGATGTAGAGATTCACTGGCTCTTGGAGACTATTGACCTAATTTGTGCTTGTTTCTCTTAGTGATATCCACCAGGTTATTGTGATATTCTAGGTTGGTTGTGATGTCATCCAAGTGATCTTTCCCAGGGTTCTGTTTGTACAACACAAAAGGTACTCAAGAAATTGAGCTGTAACTTGAACTCAGGTGTGGTATTTTCAAGATGTGCAAATATGAAAGTCATGATAGTAACAATGGCTAAAATGAACATAGGGTGATATTGCAATGAAGTGCATAAGAAATATTTGAAATAGAAAAGTTGATCAAAAGTATGTGTTAAACGTTAAAACTTAAAAGTATATTACAGGCCCGGGGATTTAACTCAGTGTTTCTGCCTTCTGCCTTGCAAGCACAAAGACCTAAGTTCAATACCCGATACACACACACACACACACACACACACACACAAATATGTGTGTGTGTGTGTGTGTATCTATCTACACATTACCACTATTCTCCATCAAAATACTTCTCTTTAACAGGACAGATTTATGACATCCCTTTCACACTTTCTAAAGCAGTTCTGGAAGTCTTGTTGCACAAGTTTCTTAAAGAAGTATAATCACAAATATGGAGAAAGCTGCTGCCAAGTACTATTTAAATCAAGCTCAAAAAGCCATCATTGTGTGTCCTCATCCATCTTATCCATAAGATCAGGCAGTTTCAGACTTCTGACTCTCCCAAAGTCCAGGACACACAAATATTTTGAATTGATTGACATCAAAATACCTAAACAGCAGTATTCCATTTTATAGAAAAACCACATCTTCTTTATCCAGTTTCCAACTGACTGGCAAATGGGCTGTTTCCAAGGTTTAGCTATTACAAACGGGTGCCACTATAAACATAGGTGAGCATATATCACTGTGATATGATTCTTTTAATTCTTTTGGAAAGATACCCAGCAGAGGGATGGCTGGGTCAAATGGAACCTCTAGTCCCAGCTCTTTGAGGTATCTCCATATTGATTTCCATTGTGGTTGCACCAGTCTGCACTCCCACCAACAATGGAGAAGGGTTCCTTTCTCCTCACAACCCACCAACATTTGTTATTGATTGATTTCTTGATAGCAGCCATTCTTTGTGGGGTGAGGTGGAATCTCAGTGTTGTTTTCATTTGCATCTTTTGAATAGTTTCTCTAGTGTGAAAAACTATAATAGTACATAAGATCCTAATGCAACAATTGACAATGTGAAATTGGAAGAAAAGGGCTAAAGGTGTAGGGAAAGTGGGAAGGGTAGGGGAAAGGCAATAAGGGAAAATAAAAAAATATGAGAAAATGAAAAAAATGGAAATAAAGTGTTTATAAATGGGAAGGGGAGGAGGGGGTGAAGGGAGGGCAGGGACAAGGGAAAAAAATGAGAACCAAGACCTGTCATGTAGAGGTACAAGATCCCAACAATAAATGTAACTGCACTGTATCCCTAAAATGTACCAATAAACTCAATTAAAGCTGAAAAAAAATCTTCATAATCTGTTAGTCCTTCTCCTCCTCCTCTTCTTTTTCCTCCTCCTTCTCTTCCTCTCCTCTGTCTTCTTCTCCTCCTCTTCCTCCTCCTTCTTCTTCATCCTCTTCCTCTTCTTCTCTTTTTGCCATGTTTGCATCATTCTTACTTCTAACCAAGTCTTTATGGAGTTTGCAATTTACAATTGTGTATATTTAATGGAAAGTATAACCATTTAAAATTTTATCATCTACTTAAGTTTTTCTTACAAACCTTGGGTATTTCTGAATACTACAAGAATGTTTTACATTTCAAAAGTGAGGGACACAAAGCAGAATTTATAGAATGAATAATTATTGAGTATCACCTGGATGTAGATATTGATTATTTAATATACTCATTAACCAATGTGACTTATCTAGTAAACTATGTTTAGTATGCTGACATGAATAATCAGGTATTTTTCTACATTGTTTCACTATCTAGGTATACCAGTAATCACACAAAGGAAATAAGACCTAACATTAAATATTTATGAACATAAAAGAACCCAAAAAATGCAGCTGATTATTGAATAATTGCTTAATATTAAATTAGTCTGAAATTTATATATGTAATGTAGCAGAACTCATGTAAAGCCCATGCTAAAATCAAGAATTTGTTATTGGACCATGAATAAGGCAAGTATTAACTGAAATAAGTAAGAAGAGAAAAGTTAAAATAATTCTGAAAACAAACACCAATTTGTATGGAAGAATTGAGAATTTATGTTAATTTTCATTGAGCTTTCTTTGGTGGCAATACAAAACTCATTGTGTTTCTTGCTTTTCTACTACTATAATTTATCTTACAGGGAAAAAAGAGGAAAGTGATAAAATACCAACATTCTCTAAATAATTTTCTAATTTAAAGAGTAGAATTTTAGAATTAAAGGTCAGATACTTATCTATACAATTTTCAAATCATGAAGATTGTTTAGTACAAAAGTGAAATAGATTAAAGACTTTAAATTTGTTTTCTGCAAGTCACAGATGCCCCACTGAATCTGAGTAGCCATAAAGGAAGAATATATACATATATATAAATATTAATGTCAAATAGAAAAAAATACATGTTCAGTATGTTTTGTGCTGTTATAGAACACCCAAGCCAAACTTATGAACATTTACTCTCTTATAGTTCTTGTGTCTGGAGGCTCCAAAATTGAGAGGCTGAGCTTGGCAATGTCCCTCGTGTCACAATGCTTCATGGCCGAAGGGCAAATGACCAAAATCATAACCACAAGTTGTTTGCAATTGATATGAATCTAGTCATATAAATGGAGCCCTCCTAATTTAAAAAAAAAAACCTTGAAGAATTTACCTCCCAGTGCTACCCCTTTGTCGATCAAAGTTCCCACACATAAATCATCTCTGAAACCCATAAGAGATATCACCAGTGCCCATAAGACATGAAACCCATGCTAAATCCAGGAATGAGCTGAACTTCATTGTATCTCTAATAATCTAAGTGTGACCCTGGGATTAAATGAATGAAGATAATTGATAGATTGTGTGAGTAAATTCAATATATTAGTTCTAGGACTAACCCCCAAAACACTTCTTTTCCCCAAATCCTGACTCTTTTTATTTCAATATTCACTGAATGAAGAGGATATCTAATACATTGAAGAGGTTAGAGATAGAAATTCAGAAGCCTGGATTTGTGTAGAACAGATCTCTGGCCTCCGTGCACACGCAGTGAACCACATATTCAGTAGGAAGCACATTTTATTGTCCTAAATTATTGAAATATCAGAATTTCCTTGTTACTATAAATACTCACTTACCTTTTGGCCAGGCACAATTGAGGCATGACAGCATATAACTTTGAAAACTTGCCCAAGTCTCAAATATCAGATTTCTACAGCCCCAAGTGGTCTTTCATATATAGATTGTAGAAAGTTGGACAGCATAGAGAATGGACTGAAAACCACATCTTTATAGATTCCTTTTTACCATTTCTCTTCTAATTATGTAGCAGAGAAAGTTAGGATAAATACATAGAAAATTATGTCCAAAGGTCTCATTTGGGGAGAAGAGCAGAAAATGTCACACATAATTTTATAAGCATATCAAAGAATGATTTTTTTTCATGAAAGCAGCAGGATCAGGTGAGCCAGATCTCAAGAGCTCAAGAACTGCTCTCCTTTATTCCTTCAGTCCTTCTGTTATCAGACATACCAGACCTTATAGTGTGGTGTCCTGACATGTTCATGATATACATGCATAGGTGTCTATGCTAAGTCATTCATAACTATCTCCTCTTGTGTGCGTGCTCCCTACAGAAGGGTCATGTCCTTAGGTATCCTTAGGTGCCCTCAGGCTTTGAGTCCATTAACAGTGGTTCCCCACATCCTGCTCCCTCAAAGATCAGGGGCATATTGTCTTCATAGGTGACCTATAGAGCTGACCCTTGTATACAAAGACCAAAATAACAATGACAGTATCAACATTACATAATCATAGTATCTAAAGATTTGCTTTTTGACCATGGAGCACAAATAATCAAGTAACACAAGCTGTATCAGTTTTCCAATATCCATTAGGACATTCTCTAGTAAACAATTTAGCCTCAGTTGTCTCAACTTTTCCCTAATATGTAACATGTAATCACTCCTTGAGGGCAGTCTTTTCTCTCTGTGTTCACAGAAGAGGACATTAAGACCAGAATCTTCCTCTGGTCTATGTAGCCTGTCTAATTGTTTACACCAATTTAGATGTTCCCTCTAAGGAAGCACCCCCAACTGCAATAAAGGATTATGAGCAAGGATCCAACTGGTTTTCTCCTGTTGGGAGTGGCAGTCACTTCTTAAGGGGCCCATTTAAAGTTCTTTCCAAGGGAGACCTCCACAGTAGTGGAGTTTTCTGTCATCTGGGAGAAAGCTCTCATTGTCACGGGACGTCAAATCATGTCCCTTCACTAGTAACTAAATTATATTAGGCTGGACAGCAAGTGTCTGTTGTCCATTGTGGAGTTGTGCCATGGCTATGGCCATCAGAGCATGAGGCCTATTTCATTTCTGTATGGGAGGTACGTGTCATCGCCTATAGTCTATCATCGTGTATGGCTTCCTGCATTATTTACATGGTGGGTCCCAGGTCCTTCCCTCTACTGGATGTCTAGTCTGTACTTCCACATTCTGTTGCCCTGTGATTTCTTCACAGGCATGCAGAGCAGTATATATCACTGCTAATGGTTTCCTAATCAAGGTGCAGAGCAGCCCACTTCACTGACAACTGTGTCTCACTCAGAGAATACCAGTCCTCAGCTCCTTTCTACAATTGCTACCAAAAGCCAGTAGAGTGCTTCTGCTTCCCTTGCATTTGTCATAAGCCCCAGCCAAACCTAACCTCATTCACATTTACAGGTACAGATAAAAGGCAGGATAGGATCAATGATTCAGAGGACTTGTACTCATGCAATTTCCCCTTTTTGAGTTCTGAAAGCAGCTTCTGCTACATCTATCTAGTCTATCTAGACTCTATCTAGC